TTGAGTCGCTTATCGAGGCACCCCGAGGCCATGCCGATGCTGTCTTTCCTCTATTACGGCCTTATGCAACCAGACCGGTGGCCCAACGATACGCGGCAACCCTCTGTGCCCGTACCGCGGCTCCTCACCGTCCATGAGACCTTCTCGTGCTTGGCCATAGTTAAGTGGAATGCTGCCACTACACTACTCTTGTCAAGGCTCTAGTCCGGATCCGATATCCAGACCAAGTCCCTCCGATTACTACCAATGACTACCTAAACACTCTATGGAAGCAATACAGAAAAGAAAGGTAGGTACGGATCGCGCCTTACCTCAACCGTGAACCTTCTCTATGGCAGAGCTGTGGTGCTGAGTTCCTTCTCAAGCTCCTCCTCATTCTCTCTTCCTAGGCGTTTCTCTTTGGCTCTGGAAGGAGAGAATGATTTCTTTGTGTAAAATATGAGCTCTCTACCTTCCTATTTATACCCCACGAAAATCTCCCTAGAGAATATTTATTTATCTTATTTTTCTCCAGTTCCTGACTACACGGGCCAAGCCTACCTAGCCACCTTTCCTCACCACGTTTTTTCTTTCTTTTCAAAGGGAAAATTAGGGTTTCATTTCCCCTTTTAATTGTAAGAGGCCCATTAACCTCTTCGCGGGCTGGCCCATAAATTTTCATTGCCTAAAGGTCATTTTCTTCCTCCTACAACCATTCTCTAAACCTCTATAAAATATTCTAAGTCCCTAAAAATGCTATACCTAGATCTAGGATGTTACAGATAGCCTGGGATTTTCAAACACTTTTGCATAAACGCATTGTATAGTAATGAATTTTAGATTCACGCTTGTTTGAGGGAACTTTTGATGATCCTTTTGAATGATTATCACAATTGTTTCTTTTCAACCACTGTTCTTTATCAGTCTATGCTCTAATATTGAGTATTTTTACAAGACTAGCAAATTGATAGTTTGATAATGATGACCTATGTTGGCATTTTTGTTTTTACAGCTAGGCAATTAGTCTCCGTTAACGATGCAAAATTTTGGTAGATTCTACAAGTAGTTGTACAGAAGACTACAATTATGATTGCAACAAGTCAATTATAACACTACGAACAAGTCAACAACTTAGTGCAAGCCTACAACATAGGACACAAAAGATATACTACTTACATAATGAAGTTATAAAATAAATCTATCATACCGCCTATCAACTAAACACCGATAAAAAAAACTACCATATTTTTCTTAATCTACCCTAACCACACTCCTAGAAACTAATAATACTACAACATCTTTAGATAAATCTACCAGAAAAATTTGCAGCGGCGGTGGATAACCTCTGAAACTCAAAACTTATATAAGTCTACTGCACACAATCAATACTAACTAAAATAATGTATGTAACATACTAAATAAATATCCAAAATCAAGTCTATTAAACTACATTCACAGAAAATAACTTTACTTAACCAATTTTTCTTAACTAACTACAACATCATCAAATAAACCTACAATAGAATCTGTACCGTCCGAGGCAGCATATGAAACTTGAAACTTATATAAGTCTACCACACATGATTATTACTATCTCAAAAAATCTGCAGAGTATAAAATAAGTTGGCAAAATAAATCTGCACAACAAAACACCAATAGCAACTAAGCACCATAAACAAATATACATAATTAATCTACTACGGCTAAACACCGTACTATAAATCTACTGTAATTCTAAGAACTCTATATCGTAGCTAATCACTCAACCAAACTAATCTTCTCAAAACAACTATACAAAACCGTTTTTACTAAATTTGTAGAACTAATCTCGTTTAAACATATAAATATACATCTTTGTATACAAAAATCTGCGAGACAAATCTGCACAAGATGACAACAGCCCCAAAAACCTGAAAACAATTCTAAGTCTACTACGTATGATTCGTAACGAATTAAATAATTTGCAATGTAAATAATAAATCTACAAAATTAATCTACTATACCTCCAAAAAACTAAACATCGCAGAAAAAAAAGTGACAAAAAAAAACTAAACATCGTAGAAAACTCTATCGTAATTTCTAACAATTCTACATCGTACCTAATCACTCAACCAAACTACTCTCGTAAAAAAAAATGCTACAAAAGCATTTTTACTTAATCCTGCAGAACCAATCTCGTTTAAACAAGTAAATATGCAACTTGTATAAAAAAATCTACGAAACAAATCTACACATTTCAATGACAACCTCAAAAACCTACAAACACTTTTAAAGTACTAGGTACGATTTGTACTGAGTCGAATAATCTGTAACGTATAAAATAAAATTTACAAAATTAATCTACTATACCTCCAAACACCTAAACACCGCTCAATAATCTACCATAATTTTTGTCGATGGTGGGATTACCAAATTTAAATTTATCAAGGGTCGAAAGGAGGACTGAGTTTTCTAGGTATGAAATCACAAAACAAAGGTTGTAGATGATTTTATTGCTGTTTTTGCTAAGCTCTCCAAGTACAAATGTTTCTCAGCGTAAAGAATTATGGATCCCCTTTTCAAGAAAATTACATGGGTATTATCGTCGACTAGGTCGGCTAGGTCAACTCCGAAGAGAAAAGGAACTTTTCCTATTTCTCACAGATTTCCTTTCTCTGAAGTCGGCCACGCCTAGTGGCTCTGGTTGCTCAGCTTGGCCCACCTCGTTGTGCTCTGGGCTCAACCCACCTCGTCGTGTGATATACCCTATATTTTACCACTTTTAATATCTATTTTACTATGATTTTTACATATATTAATATAGCTTTTCGACCAAAAGAGATAGTTTTCTCTTATTTGTAGATTTTAAGGTCTTAACAGGTTTTATCATCAAAAGAATGTAAAATAAAGCAAAAAGAGTGTTATCTATGATGCAGCTACTCATTCAAGTCAAAGGAACCAAGCGAAGTCGTTTTATCTTGAAGATAATGCATATTTTCAAACTGGACAGAACGCATATGCCAGAATTTCGCTGATAAACGGAGGATCAAATAAATTGGGAATTTAATGAAACTTGGTATGGAGATAGCCCTTTGAGTTATATTTCCAATGGAGTTGGAATTGCATCAATTGGAGGTATACTTTAGAAGACACACTGGAAACACTGAGGACATGTCAAACTGCCTTCGAAGTGAAGTGAGTGCACAAGGAAGCCAAGCACCGGGCAGCCCATGGGCCGATGATCAAGACCTTTTCTGACCTTCTAGAAACATCAAGGAAGCCTCTAATACCGGTCACGAAGCCCGACCATTATTGTGACCGGTATTGCCTCAGTTTCGACTACAAAGACGTTTTTGCCCGAAGAAGCCCTAGCCGACTTAAGCCTCTTTAAACCCCTATATATACTTGCTTTTAGCCTCTCTAAGAACTTAAGCAGCCGGACATAACAGCCTAAATCAATACCTAAACATGTATTTCGTTTTTCTCTTGTTCTTAATGCATATTTGATTCTAAAAACCTTTAAGGATAGATTGACTTTGCCCTATTGCGAAGAGATGAGATCTAACTCCTTACGCTTTGTAGATCAACTATTTATCTTTATGTTTATGTGCTTTACTCTTGCTGCTACGTGTTGCAAAACATGTTAGAGTACTAGCTTTGATTTGATTTCTATGCACCTTCTTAATTCTATGCTTTTACATGCTTAATCGATTTCTAGAATTG